AGCAGACTTCTCTGCACAAGGGTGACGGTAGCCTGTGATGGTGTTCCAGCAGCTCCCTGCGTCTTTGAGCCCCAGCTGCTGACTCCAGCACTTATGATCCTTCATAAGTTTCCAGTAAAATATATTGACTAATAAGGCTTTTTTTTTTTCATTTTGCAAACATATCTGTGAGGTAAATTTAACCCCCATGCACACACACACACACGTGTGTGCACACATGTCTATCCATGCATCTGGTCACCTGGCACCATCTGGAAGAGCTGACTTACAGCCCCATGCTCTCTGGGGCCAGGTCTTAGGCTCCACTCTGCATTTTTACCATCTTTGAAGCCTTGGGAGCTCCTGCAGCAGCGCAGGTTTGACCGGAAGTAGTCATGTTCCAAAGAGCTGCAATGTTAATGTGCCGGTTAGGTCAGCATTAAGATGTATGGGCGTCATGTCTATTCATGTCAGACGAGCCCCTTTCAACACCTGTGTGAGTCACTCCAGGCCCCGTGCAGCCAAATCTCACTTGCAGTCTGGAGAACAATGAGGAAATTGTGCCAGTAATTTTTCATCCTTTGCTTTTGCTTAAAAATGTCTGAGGAACTTGACGAGTCCAGTGGACTGAGCTTCCAGTGTCCCTCTAGTTAGACAGGTGTCACTAGTACTATACCAGGGTTTGTCTATTGAACTTTACACATGGGGAAAATGGCTTAAATCGTCTGTCTTGAAAAGTCCTCATTCTCTTTCTCATGCCTCTCAGATGAAGTTGAAGTTGATGCTAATGCTTTTCTCAGCCCATGTCTATGTATAGTTCTAGATATCTGGAGGTGGAAGTGAGGGATTCTTCTCATTTTCACTTCATCACCCTTTTCTCTCCTAATGCCAAGGGGAATTCACACTGACTTAACAGACATTTGATGCAAACCTGAAGCAAAACCTGCTTGCTAAAGTCCTTCCAGAAAAATGCTTTCTAATGAAATCTGAATAATGTTAATATAGATACTGCTAATTAGCCTGCAGAGCTGACGGGCATACTCACATCATACCCTACAGAAGCCAGTGGCTGTTAGCAGAAGAGACAATGACTTGTATTAGACAACCGGTGTTTGCACGCCCTTCATGTTCTCTCTTCTCTCTTTTTTTTTTTTTTTAAAGATTTATCTATTTATGCGTACAAGAGCTGGGCTGCAGGCCAGAGGTGTGGGGTTGAGAGGATTCACCAGAGACACAGTGGGGAGTAGAACAGGCAGATCCACTGAAATCCACTGCTGAGGGGAGCAGCAGGAGACAGGAGAGGTCTGCTGCACCGTGTGGTTCAGCTCCCTGACCAGGGATCGAACTTGTGCAGCAGTGGCTGATGATAGCTTGATAGTGCTGAGACTTAATCTCTGCACCACCAGGGAGGCCTTCTCTCTTCTGTTGCTAGCAATTGAATGTAGTATTCTGACTCTTCACAATTCTTAATCAATTTATTAATAATTAAATCAAGTGATGTGTTCCCATTCCATTCCATTCCATTCCATTCCATTCCATTCAACTTTATTGCATTTCATTTAAAAAATTAAGTCCAATTATACCTGTCAGCTTTATTTTACAATCGACTAATAGGTTATATCTTACAGGAAGTTTGACTGATGCTGACAAAGTATGGACGTGGGAGGGGCGACGTGGCCTGGGCCAGGGCCTCAGTTATCAACACACATTCACTCTTCAGTCTTTGGTGTGGTCCAAGTGACACCATTTAAGTGTGTTTATCATTTGCTGGTTTGGAACAAATGCTAGTTCTGCGTGAACTGGTAAGAATCATTTGTCAACCAGGGCTGACATCTTTGGAGCAGAGGAGAGCCGGGCCAGGTGGTCAGGTTGGGAAGGCCCTTGAATCCTGCCCCATAGCCCCGCCCTTGTCTGTGTCTGAAATTTCATCATTAGAAATTCACTTCTTTGAGCCTTCATCAATTAGCCTTAATAATCCTGTTTGCCTCTGCTGATTGAGTCTGAGTCAAGGTTAAAGTCACAGTGAAGAGCTGGCCTGGCTGGACCCTCATGAGCGGCAGTCCTGCAGGGATGCTGTGGTCCTGTCTGGCCAGGAGATCCCGCTGACGGAGACGCCCAGTGGAGGAAGGAGCCTGGCTAACGCTGTAGAGCAAAGTGACATAGAGTGACTGGCCACTCATCATCCACACTGACATACTCATTTTGGTATTTTTGCATTCAAAGAAACATAACACCGAGGCACAAACTGGTTGCCTCCTTTCAACCTCAATTATCATCGGTTTTGCTCAGGTTACTCTAAGCTTGGTTTGCTTCTTAGCTCCAGGAGGATTCTCTGGGGCAAGGAGACCCCAGCCCCACATCAGGGGCTCCTGTCACCTGCACTTGTGCTCCAGAGGGTCACAGATGGTTCCCCGACCCCACTAGCTTACTTCTCACTTCAAGGCTTAGTCTCCATTTCCCTGAGGGTCCCAGAGCAGTCCGATCCACAAAAATGGGCTGGTGGGGGAGGGTAATGAGGTATTTTCCATCTTGCGAGATGAAACAGACTTAGACTGGCGCTGAACACAGTTAAGATGGCAAATGGCATGTCTTCAAGCAACGTTAATCGTGTGTAGTTATGTGAGTGACTAAGTTCATAATTTTAACACAGAACGAAGAATTTTTCTAAGGCTTGTCCCTGGATGAACATATCACCTGCAAAGTCTGGAAAGGTGCCCATATTTGGGTAAATGTTGTAAGTTTTTAAAAGTTCATTTCAGCAGTCAGTGTATGATTGTATAAAAGTTAGACTAAGTCAATAAACTACACTTTATGCTAAGAAAAGTCTTTTTGTTTTGGGGGGTCCGTATTTTTTCCTATTATAAAGTTAATTTATGCTTATGAAAAGGTGAGAATATTAAGACTAAAGTAAATTCAACTACTCAAATTCAACCTTATTTTCAGTCCAGTCATTTTTCCACATGAGGGGTAAAAAACAGGAGGCAGTGGCCGGACTGACTACATCTGGTGAGCAGCTTTAGTTGACAAGATTGCACAGGTAATATGTCACAGAGTCAGTTTGATTTAATCTTCACTTCTGTATTTTTGGAAAATTAGGGAGTTTGCAGGATATTTTCTTCCCTGTTATAGTATGTTTTCCCTTTTGTGGTATAAAAATTAATGATAAAAATTAAAATTAAAATCTTTGTTTATAGTGTTTTCTAAATTATGGATTTTTCCTTTGGATTTATTCCCATAAACAGAATTCAACATCAAAAGGTTTATATGCTAAGGGTGTGAAATTATTTACCTTAAAAAGCAGGCCACCTGGTCCACTTGCCCACAGGTAAAGTCATTTACAAATTTCCACCAACTCACCACGTGACTTGCATTTCTTGAGCTTTTTGCCCTCTGTCTCCTAACAGGTATGTTCCCTCCCCCCATTGTTTTTTGGGGGATTGCTGATCTACAATTGGCTTCTAACTTTTTTTAATTAATTGCATTCAACCTAGCCATACAAAAAAAAAAACACCCTTTACATTACAGCTGCAAATATTTTCCCCACCGGGCTGCCGACCTGTACATTCAATTTTGATTTATCTGGTATTTCCAATAAACCTACAGCTACACCTGCCTTTATTTTCCTTTGGAGCACGTGTGCCGAGGTCGCCCTGAGCAAATGCAGGATGGTGAAAAGTAGGGCACACCTTAGCGGACTGCTTTCTCTCTCCCTCTGCTGAATCCTTGGGGTGAAGGCTGACAAAATGCAGGACACACAGTTAAATGGATCGCAGACACACGATGAGTGTATTTTTAGCACAATTAGGTCTCGAATACCGCGTGGACCATCCCGACGCTAAACAGCAATTAGTTGTTCACCTGGAGTCCGTTTTCTTCCGGCGCCCTGGGTTTCTGTTAGGTGCTATCAGGCACGCCCACTTGGGGCTGGTCAAGGAACCCAGCTCTCTAAGCACCCGCAGGTGGGGGAGCAGGAGCTGAAAGAAAAAGCAGTGCCAGTGCTCAGCGAGCACCTTCGGCTCCCCAAAGAACTCTGCCTTCAGAGAAGCTTCCAGAGGGCTTCAGCGCTTGCCGTTGGAACTTTCTGGCGCGCAGGGCTCTCTTGCTGCGGAGCGCAGAGATCTCCACCTTTGGGACTCCGAGGACCACCAGGGCCGCCCCGGCGCCCGCGGCCTCGGGGTGCAGGCAGGATCCGGCCCGGGTGGAGCGGGGCTCAGGTGTGTGGCCTCCCGCGGGCGCGGCGCCCGGACCTCGGGCTTAAGCTGCGCGCGCGTCCGCCGCGGGGCCCCGGGCGGCCTTTGTGCGGCGCCCGCTCCCAAGCGCCCCAGCGCCGGCCCGGCCTGCGCGCTGCTGTCCGCGCAGGGAGCCGCCCGCCGCCCCTCCTCCTGCGTCCGCCGGGGCCAGGGCAGCGGGGGTGCGTTTTGGCCGCTTCGGGGTTCAGGAGACGCCGCTGTGGCCCCGGGGCCCGCAATGGCCAGGCCGGCGCGGGGAGGGTCGCGCGGCCGGCGCCGGGGGGCAGAGGCGGACACCCCACGCCGGCCTTCCCGAGCGGAAAGCGGCTCCCCAGCCGGGCCGGGTGCAGGGGGGGCACGCAGGCCGGCTTCCCGCGGCCGCTCAGGGGCCAGAGGGCGGCCTCCCGGACCCGGACCCGGACGCCGCGTCGCCGGCTGGGAGGGCGTCCGGGGGGAGCCGGCTCCAGCGCTGGCTCGGGGCTCCGCGGGCGGGCGGGCTCCGCGGCCACTTTCCGGTTCCGACCCTGCTCCGCGCGCCAGCCGAGGGCGGGACCGGGAAACGCCGCGGGGACTCCAGGCGGCCCCCACCCTCCTGTGCCCTGCCTCGGCTGGGCCCTGTGTGCCGCCTGGGCACGGAGGAGCCGACGCTGTCTCCCGACTTAGGGAGGCTTTGGGTTGGTGTGAACTTGGGACTCAGTTTCCCTTACTGCTCAGTGTGCAGGGAGCGACCTGGAGGCCCCAGCAGGCCCTGGGGGGGAGCCGGGGGGGGGCGCTGCTGGCCGGCCTTGCAGTCCAGACCCGCGCTGCCTTCGTGGCTGCCCGCTTGGGTCTGGGGTCTCGGCCTCCATGGTCAGTTGAGGGGGCGTGTCCGCCCCTTGCTGTTTGTTGGAGGACTCACTGGTTTGTCCCTTTGCAGGGTGAGGGCGGCGAGGCTCCGGTGAGACCCTGGTCCTGGAACTGAAGAGCAGGTATGGCCTCCTCGGTCCCCTACATTCCCGCCCCCCCCCTCGTGGGGGTGGTGCTTCCGCCAGCAGGTGTCTGACTGGGGGTTATCCTGGGGGCCCATGCCGTGTGAGGCCGCTGCAGTCCGTTATTTCTGGGGGGACAGAGAGCCACAGACCTGTGGATGCTAGTGCTGCGTGTGACCTCCTTTGGGGTCAAAGCCGCTGCTTTGGCTGCTGTTTCTTTGCTCCTCTGGGAATTGGGTTCATAGACCACGTAGGGCAAAGGCCCAGCCTGGCCCCCGTGGAGGACCACCTTCTTGGTGTCTGGCTGAGGATGGAACCTGAGGCCCTCAGGGGGATCTTATTCTTTGTAGGGCTTATTTGCCTTCGGGGTGTGCGTGCCAGGGTTCCTTGTGGAGAATGAGGAAGCCAACTTTTAGAAAATATTTTTTAAATGCGTAAGGTTATAAGTGATATTGAAATAAAGTATCAGAGTATGGTAGAAAACAAACTTGTTAAAGCAGGAGTATTAGCAGAATTCAGCCCTGTAGCAAGTGGCTCACAGTTGATGCCTATGCAGGGGGCCTGAGGGGTCTGCTCCTCAGGGCCTGGCAACCAATGGGTGCCTCAGTGGGGACAGTCCCAGATGCTCTTCCCACGGTACCCAGTGGTCCACATGGACAGCCAGTGAGCCCAGAACTTCAGGTAAAGGTTGGTGGGAGTGAGGATGCAGGGGCCCTGCCCCTGGCAGGGATGTAGGCACCGGGTTGGAGATGGGCTGCGTGCTGGGAGGAGGGTGCGCTGACCCAAGGGTAGAGGTGCAGGGCCCTAGGGAAAGCCAGGTGGGCTCACCTGTATGTCCTTGTGGAAGAGGCTGCCCCTCCAGACGTAACCAACCTATCTCCAGGGCCAGCACCGACACCCAAATCCCCTCGCTGAAGGCTGGGCACCTGCGCTGCTCAGCTAGCACCCAGAAGGCCTCCACCTGAGGAGCAGCGGCCCCTCCCTACATGTGGCCCGTCTCTACCATAACCTCCCTCTGAGAGTGGAGTGCCCAGCCACAGCCTGGAGGCTGAGCCTGGCACGAGCCAGACCAGATACTGGGCCAAGGAGTTGCCCTTGGGGAGGGGGTCACTTGGAGCCCCCACAAAGGGACTGGGATCTTGGTGCTCACTGAGCCCCACTCCCACTATTATCCCTTACTGGTGCCAGATCTGCCACCTGGAAAGGCGCACAGCCCAGCCTAAAATGCTGCAAAAAAAAGCTAGGATGATAGCCCACTTCTCACTGAGGGTCACTGACTATTCCAACCCATAAAGACAAGATGAAGAGCAGAGCATGTGGCAAGTGTGCAGCAAAGTGTCTCCATCCATGGTGCTGGGAGGGGTGTGAGTTGAGCTGCAGCCCTGGGTGTGCCAGGAGGGGTGTGAGCTGAGCTATACCCTGGGTGTGCCAGGAGGGGGGTGTGAGCTGAGCTGTAGCCCTGGGTGTGCTGTGGGTGTGCTGGGAGGGGTGTGAGCTGAGTTGTAACCTGGGTGTGCTACAGGTGTGCTAGAAGGGATGTGAGCTGAGCTGCAGACTGGGTGTGCCAGGAGGGGTGTGGGACTGAGACTTTTCACAAGTTACTGGGAACTTTCAGGGTTTGCACAAGTCTAAAGAGCATTCTGTTTCCAAACATCAGACTTTCCTCTGACAATGTTGTGATTACACCCTGGTGGGGAGAGAAGTGGGGTGGGGAGCCGGAAAGAGGGACAGGTAGTGGGGCTGCTCCTGGGAGGGTGGGAAGGAGACCAGCAGGGTCCTTGGCACACCTTTGTGGGTGAGAAGGCACAGGAGGAACACTGGACAGCCCCCTCAGCCTCCAGGAAGTGTCTGTGCTGGCAGGGTGTCTTGGGATGGTGTGGGAAGAGGACAGGAGATTCTGGGTTCCCAATGGGAAGGCAGGCAGACTCATCACTTGGTTAGGAAACTGGGGCAGCTCCCAGTGAGTGCCATGCATTGATGGGGGTCGCGGGGTGCCTTGCTTGGCAGGCCCTGGAGGAGCTTTTCAGCTTGGTCTTTCTAGGGGCCCCAAGGACGGGCATCTAGGGGTATGACCAGCTCGAGTCTCTCAGCCAGTGAATGCAGCCCCAGGCAGCCCCCGCTCAGCCTGCGGTGGACTCGCCCCTCCACCAGGAGCAGCCCTGGGGTGGGAGGGAAAAGGGAAGGCCCCCCCCCGGGGCCCTCCACTGTTCCAGGTGAGGGCAAGGCCCCTTGCTCCTTTCTGTGCGACTTTGCCTTGGACTGCATCACCCAGGCAGTGACACTGAGAATTTTAGTCCCCGACAGTGAGACTGAGAATTTTTTTTCTCAGTCTCCAGAGGGACTGCACGAGGCGCACCCCGACTGTGACCTGCTGTGCTCCACACTAGCCTGTCAAGGGCCACAGGACAGTAAAAGGGGCTTTTTCAGATTTTGACCCTTGGCGTTATGCATGAGAAGGGCTTGCTTGGGCTCAGGAGCTCGCGCTTAGCCTGACAGTGAGCCAGCTGAGGGGCCGTGAGGGGCTGACTGGCCGCTGTGTCCCTGGGGGCTGCAGGCTTAATTGGCAGCTTTAGAGCTCAGCTCGTACCCTTGCTGAGTCCATGGGAGGTGGCGTGTCCCTCGCAGACCAGAGCTGTGGGGCTGGCCCCAGGCACTTCTGCATGTACCGTCCAGAGGCACAGGCCGGGTTTCTCTAGGGCACATGGCCTCGGGATCGAGGCCTCAGTCTCACCCACCCCAGTGGCTGTCGTGTCCCGTCCATGGGCGTGCACGTCTCCCTTCCTTCACAGCGGGTCAAGGGCCCACGCTTGTCCACTCGGGGCCTGAGACTCTGCGGCCATGTGGCCAGGGAGATGGGCACCTTCTGTGTCCACCTGGCCACTGCCTGGCTCCTTTGTGAGGCGCAGGCATGGAGAAGTATTACCACCACAGTCCTGTGATGGCGTGGGGTCACGTGGGGCAGGGCGGACAGGCAGGGAAGGCCGCCGGCTTTCATCTGGGTGTTGCAGCTGCCCCGTGTTCACGGAACCTGGTTGGCCTTCCCGCTGCATCCTGAGCCCTGTGTTGGGGCCTGGTCCCTGCTGCCCAGCCCGCACATGGGATGGCTCAGCAGGGAGGGGGGCTGCCGGCTGCTCTGTGGCACGTGGGCTGCCGGGGCTGGGAGTGTGCCCACGTGGCCGGCGTACCTGCGCACGCACAGAGGATGTGGGGATGGTCCTGGACGGCTGGAGTAGGGCAGGCGGCCCCAGGGCTCCTCCCAGAGGCCTGTGCTCCCGTATTGTGCCTACACCTTAGTGTTTGTTTCTGCTTTTCTTCCAGGACGGAGCCTGGCTGGCCCGCAGCACACAAGCATGCTGCCCCGGTGGGAGCTGCGGCTCTACCTGCTCGCCTCGCTTGGCTTCCACTTTTACTCCTTCTTTGAAGTGTACCGAGTCTCCAGAGGTGAGGCCGCCATCAGCACTGCTGCCAGGAAAGCAGGGACAGGCGCAGGGGGCTGCGGCTCAGGAGGGGGCTGGGCTTGGCTCTGAGTGTCCCGTCCTGGGCCTCCAGCGTTGGGGGGGAGGGTGGCCTCAGCAGGGGATGGCTCGGGTCTGTGGCTGTTGAGGGCCCCGGTGGATTCACAGTGGCTGTGGGCAGGGACCTGGCATTTCTATCATGTCACTGCCATGGGGCACAGGGCAGCTCCTGGTCCTGGAGACCCAGACACCTGTCCTGTCTCATCGGCAGCCTGCAGTGCCTTTGTGTGCATGCGGATGGGGAACCATCACTGGGCCCAAGATCTAGCCCCAGGAAGGGAGCCAGCAGGTGACACTTGTCTACTTTGCTTGTGTCGCAGCTGGAGGCTGGGAAGTAGTGTTGTCAGCTGCTTAAATCTCCCCGCACTGGGAGGATGGGAGGAGGCTTGGAGGGGCCTCAGGCAAAGAATGCCCCAGAGGGGGTACCTGGTGGTCTCTGAGCCTTGTCTTAAGGGAGAGCAACCCCCAGCAGTAGAGAAGCAGCGGAGGACCCGTGGCTGGGAGGGGGCTGGAGGGCAGCCGGCAATGAGTTAGGCTGGGGGGGTGGGTGTGGCAAGAGCCTACCTGGGTGCTGCTGAGTGGGTAAGAGCTGCTGTGAAGGCTGGGGAGAGTGCTGAAGGCCATGTGGTCCCTTGGGATGGCCAGGAGGGTGTGGGGAAGCTCAGCGGGGTGTGCTTTGCCTGCACCAGTGTCCTGCTGGAAGCCTGAGCAGTCTACTGCCTCCGGTGGTTGGGGACTGTCCTTTGGTCAAGCCGCCCAGGTCCTGGCAGTTCCTGGGGAGCTGAGTGCTCAGGGCCCAGGTGGGAGCTGACCTGCCTCAGGTCAGGCTCTGTAGCAGGTGCTTCCTGTGCCTCTGCTCACTTTTCAGATCAGCCCTAGGAGATGGTGCAGGACTTAGAAATTAGGCCTGCCTGCAGAATCCGGCCTCCTGCAACTCCAGCCCAGGGCTGCTGTGGTGGTTAGCTGGTGTCCATTGGAGCCCTGGCGCCTGTGTCCTCCCCTCCTGGCACAGTATGGCTGCACCTGCTCCAGCTGTCACTACATTTTTCCCACTGGGAGGGAGACTGGAGGACACAGCATGACTTGGAAATGGGCTGTATCTTATCTGTTCACATTCTCGCCTCACTCATTTTGTTGGGGCCTAATTGTACTTTCGTATCTGATTGTTTTTCTCAGGGGTTTCCAGGAGAGGAACTGGAGGTCACACCACGTGGCCATCCTGAAGGCTAGGGTGAGATTCCCAGGCTGTGCCAGGGGCAAGCAAATTATTTATTTCTTCTGTAGTTTGTGGGTAATTGCTTTTTGGGTGTTTATAGTCTGCAGATGACTGAGAGTGAATCATTCAAAAGCACTTTCATTTTTTGACAATTTCACTCAACATTATCACACCAAGATCTGTCCATTTTTGTCCCGAACACCACTGTTTCATCTTTCTTCACAGCTGTGCAATATTCCACTGAACATATATGCTCTGTAGTTTCTCTGTCCACGCATCTGTTGAAAGGCACTTGGGTCGGTTTCATGATTTGGGAATTGTAAACAGTGCTGCTGTGTGTGTAGGGGTAGATGTGTCTCTTTGTAATGGACATAAATACCAGATAAATATCAGTATTGCTGGGTGAAATGGAATTTCCATTTTTATTTTCTGGAGACCTCTCTGGACCGTTTTCCATAGGGATAAACAACATGCATTCCCACGAACAGTGGACGAGAGTTCCTATTTCACTGCAGTCTCACCAATATTTATTATTTCTGTTTTTCACAGGCCATTCTCACAGGGTTGAACATTTTTTCATATGTCTACAGTCTGTCTGAATGTCTGCCTTAGAGAAGTGTCTATTGAGATCCTTTGCCATTTTATTAATTGGTTGATTGTGTATGTTGGAGACCCTAAGGCGTAAAGTACTGGAACAAAAAAAAATGTCAGGGTCATGACTAAAAAACTGGTCAACATAGACTAAAAAGACTGGCCTGTGTCCAAACCATGACGCCCTTTCTTGTATCAACAAAGCTAAGCCCCAAAAACAGACAAAAAAAAAAAAAAAACACCTAAAATATATCTAGTAACACAAAACCTTGACAGTAAATATATGCCTGGACAAGACTAAATACTAAAATAATTCATTGCCTAATAACTAACAAAAAAAGGGGAGGGGGACAGTTTATATCAATAAAAATGAGTGACAACGGACACTCAAAACACTTAAGCTCAAAATGAGAGGCCTTATACCCCCTGAGTCCCATTTCTCTTAAACTCTATTTTGTGTCTGTCAGTTCTTTATTTCCAAGTTCTTTCAAATCCCTTTCCTTAACCCTGTTCACCAAAACTAGTCTCCAACATGAGTACCTTGTAAATTTTGGAGACTGACCCACTGTGAGATGTGCTAGGTATGCAAGTATTTTTCCCATCCTGTAGGTGGCCTTTTTGTTTTTGTGATAGTTTCTTTTCAGGTATGGAAGCTAATAAATTTGATGTCCCACTTGTTTATTCTTGCTTTTGTTTCCCTTGCTGCCGAACTGTGTCCCAAGTACATCATTGTGGTGGATGTCCTGTGGTGCAGCTCCTATATTTTCTTTCAAGTACTCTATGGTTTCGATTCTTATGCCCCAAACTTTAATCCATTTTGAGTGAATTTTCATCTACAGTGTTAAAATGGCTTTTGCTTCATTGTTTGTTTTTTTCTTTTGCATTTGGCTATCCATGTTTCCCAGCACCATTAATTAAAATACTGTCTTTACTCCACTGTGTGGCCATAATTCCTACATCAAAAATTGGTTTTCCCTTTGGATCCCTATATAGATTTATCCCTGTGCTTTCTATTCTGCTCCATTGGTCTGAGTTTCTCTTTTTGTACCAGTACCATACTGATTTGATTACTGTTGCTGTGTAATATAGTTTGAAGTGACGAAGTTTTCTTTTCTCAAGATTGTTCTGGCTTTTTAAGGCCTTTTTGTAGTTCCATAAAGTTTGATAATTGTTCTATTTCTTTTAAAGTAATTGATATTTTAATAGTTACTGTATTTAATAGCTAATGTATTAAATCCATAAATTGCTTTGGCTAATTCATATGCTAATTCTTCTGACCCATGAACATGGCATACCTTTCCATTTCTGTTGTGTGTGTATATATATATATATATATATATATATATAAATAAAACATCATTATTCATTTTTGCTTTCTCCTCTCAAGTGTAGTCCCCATAAAATTCCCAGTACCAAGTCACCCATGCACCATCACCAGTCTCTTGTGCTATTCCTGCCCTTGTTTTAATCCCTCCCCCTCCCCTGTTGAATGCTCTGATTTCTAGTTTCCTGCTAGTTTTGTCTTCTTTTTTTTAGTACTCATTTATTTATTTATACAAGAACTGGGGTACAGGCCAGATGTGTGGGAGGGTGAGAGGATTCACCAGAGACAGCAGGGAACAGAACAGGCAGACTGAGTGAAATATACTGCTGAGGGGAGCAGCGGATGCGACAGGAGAGGTCTGCCACACCTAGTTTTGTCTTTTTACTTTTTCCCTGATCCCTTGTTTGGTTCCCCTATATTCTTCCTATAAGTGAAAGCATCCAATATTTTTCTTTTTCCTTCTGACTTATTTCACTGAGCATAATCCCCTCCAGCTCCATTCATGTTCCTACAAGTGGCATGAGTTTATCTTTTTTGATGGCTTGGTAGAATTCCACTGTGTAAATAGACCACATCTTCTTGATCCACTCATGTTTTTGGACATTAGGTTTCTTTCTATATTTTGACTATTGTAGATAGTGATGCAGTAAATACAGGAGTGCAGTATGCACAATGCTTTTGTGTCCTTTGTGTAGATTCCTAAGGATGAAATTGCTGGGTCATCTTTAGTAATTTGAGAAACCTCCACACAGCTTTCCATTGTGGTTGGACTGATTTACATGCCCACCAGCAGTGTAAGAGAGTTCCTTTTTCTCTACATCCTTGCCAGCATTTGTTGTTACAGGTTTTTTTTTTTTTAACATATGCCATCTCACTGGTGTGAGGTGGTATCTCATTGTTTTCTTATTTGCATTTCCCTGGCTATAAGTGATGGTGAGTCTGCTAGGCTTAAAGGGCTGCTTCAGCCACCATTCTAGCTATGCAGTTTGGCCTTTTCAGTACAAAGTCCATTTGGCCCAGTCAATCAATTACGTAAACTTACAGAATATAAACTACTGACTCTGCAAAGGTTCCTCTCAAGTTAAATAAGAGCATGTGCTTAATCCCTGGGACAATGAGTAACCGTCAGGAGGCATGACCAGGAAGGTCTGGAAGCTATAGATTGATATGTAACTGCGTCCCAGAGACTGATCAGCAGAATGCCTTGCTAATAAGATTGGAACCTCGAGTGGGGTCGGAAGCTTGATTTCAATTTTCAAACATGGGCCATAAAACTAATGTGGATCCTCAGACTCAGCTCCCCCAAAGCCTAGAGAACCTACGCAGACATTTCCTTCCTTCTAACTTTTTCCCTTTGTTCTCCTGCCCCTAGTAATTGACTCTGTCAAATCATTCAGTCAATAAAAAGGCCAGGTTTTGCCTTCTTGGCAGCATCCTGCCATAACAGCCTGCTCCACGGCTCCCGTTTCTTTGACATTGTGGTGTTGCCTGACCCAACAAGTGATGTTGAGCATTTTTTCATATACCCGTTGGCCATTTGCATTTCCTCTTTGGAGAAGTGTCTTTTTAGCTCTCTGCCCATTGTTTGGCTGGATTGTTTGTTTTTGTTGAGTTGTATGAGCTCCCTGTAGATCTTTGAAATCAGTCCCTTATCAGTTGTGTGGAATGCAAATATTTTCTCCCAAATCATTTGGTTGTCTCTTTGTTTTGGGTAATGTCTCTTTTGCTGTACAGAAGCTTTTTAGTTTGATGTAATCCCACTGTTTATCTTTTCCTTCATTTTCTTTGCTTTAGG